CCTTCCTTCCTTCCTTCCTTCCTTCCTTCCTTCCAGAATTAATACTTATAATAAAATACCTGCCCATGTGCATGATCTGGACTTGTCCATTTAAATCACTGCCATGCCCTGCAGATCTTGTCCCCATTTTAAGTGCAGCCCCCAACCACCAAACTTACCCATCGCATATGTGTGGATCCTTTAATATGATGCCCTGAACTACAACTGTGCCAATCTGTCTGAGTTTGGCATATTCTACAAACACACTGCTTATGTCACAATGTGTCTTCTGAATCCAAAAACTGGAGAATTCCATAAACCTTGGCTAATTTAATTCTAAGGCAGTGTGCTGGGTCAAGGGAGCAACCAGCTTGATTGATTGATTGTGTCCTATCTCCCCAAAAACATTCTACCTCTTGTATATTGTTCTCTCTATATATATCAAGGTTGTCTTTATAAGAACCCTGTAGACCAGGCAAGATCAGAGAAGGTGTTCTCCCCAAATGTTCTTGAATTTTAACTCCCAGCCAGATTGGCCCTGGAATGTTGTGTTTTATTTAGTTCAGCAACAATAGAACCAACAGAGCTGAGCTGCAAAAGCCCAAATGACCACTAGATGGCACCCAGGAGATATCAAAAGTTCTTTTTTCTTGACATCTCATCATCTTCATGATTTTTTTCCAGCCCAGCACTGATGTTCTTGAGCAAAGGTCAAAGAGCCACAGGTTCCATGTGTTGAGAGAAAGTGAGTCCCATGCATAAATTTGCATTGTTTTCCCACATCCTATTTCCAATTGAACAGTTATTACAGTATTCAGAATAGAGATGCTAAGATGTACAGCAGTGTTTCTCAACCTCAGCAACTTGAAGCGGTGTACACTCCCAGCATGCTAGCTGGGGAATTCTGGGAGCTGAAGTTCACATAGCTTCAAGTTGCTGAGGTTGAGAAACACTGATGTAGTGAGGGATCATGTTATCATTAATTCTAGAGAAAAAGAAAGCATCTTCAAAGGGGAAACTTTTGGATACTTGTCTGTGCTTCTCTACAATTTTTATCTCTGTGGAAAGTACTAGGCTCCTCCCTCTGAAGTTGCTTGCTGCATCTCACCGTTGCTACCAAATACTTGGTAGGAAAACGTCGTAGAGATTAGAATGGTGGGTTTTGAAATTGCAATTAAAACTCTGCATGGTTTCAGATGGAGGCATGGAGGCACATCTATTGTTTTACTAGAAGAATGATAAGAAGAAAGGTATATTTTGGTTCCAGGACTTGAGGGTAACTCTAATTTACTATCTCTATAGAAAGAAAGGAAGTGGCTGTCCTCTATCACGTGATGAGCAAGATAGGAGGGGAGGAGCTAACTTTTGATTAAAGAGGGTTAAAGAAAGAGAAACACACTTCAGGTTTCAAACCGAAAGTTGGTCAAATCCTGCTGGATAACCCTTCTGAGATGTCAAGATATATTGCACTTTGACACTTTTTGTCAGATTTCAATTCCTCCTTTCCTTTGGAAGCTCAAGGTGGGGTCCAGAGTACTTTTTCCTCCCATTTTCCATACAGCAACCCTGTGTGGTAGGTTGGGCTGGGAGGGAAGAACGGGCCCCAAGTCCCCCTGGGAAGCTGCCGGGGCAGACAGGTGGATTTCAACCTGGACTCAAGTAATTTTAAGCCACTCCAAGTCATTTCTTAACCACGTCTGTAGTATCACAGGCATGGAAGACCATTGGAAGACCTGAAAGACCAGGCTGGGGACAGATTGTCCTGGAGAAAACTGATCCATATGGTTGCTAAGAGTCGACACTGACTCGATGGCAAACAATCAATCAACAATATTAATTGCAGCTTAGGTATGCATCTCTGTATAAACCACAGTCTTTTTTTCTGATGATTTCCATTCCCATCTTCTTTTCACTCTGTATAACTATATAATTTATTTCCTTTTGTATATGAAGCATATATAAGATATATATTTTATATGTCAGTGTTGTCCAAACTTGGCCACTTTAAGATGAGTGGACTTCAACTCCCAGAATTCCCCAGCCAGCCATGCTAGCTAGGGAATTCTGGGAGTTGAAGTACACTCATCTTAAAGTGGCCAAGTTTGGACAACACTGTTATATGTGATTACTTGATCTCCTTAGAACACGACTGGCAAAGGATGCCTTCACAACCAGTATGTTGCTGTGGGTGCTATAGGTCTTTTGTGTCCTGCTTCTTCAAAGTCCAATCATTTTGCTTCCATACAGGAAAAACCAGTGCTTGTACTATTTTGATCACTGTAGATATAAATGTTATGGCATATGAGTATCTTTTTCAAGGATTTCATGGGTACTCTACAAAGCATTAGTCTGTGGCATATTTCTTGACTGCTGCTTCCTTTTATCTTTTGATTGATTGTGTACCATCAAGTTGGTGATGACTCTTAGTGACCACATAGACAAACGTTCTCCAGGATGATCTGTCCTCAACCTGGTCCTTCAGGTTTCCCAACAGTGCACCCATTGTCACTGTAACTCACCTTGCTGATGATGGTCCTCTTCTTCTGTTTCCTTCCACCTTTCCCAGCATCAAAGCCTTTTCCAGAGAGCTGGGCCTTCCATAATGTATCTGACGTAGGATAATCGGAACCTGGTCACTGCTGCCTCCAGTGAGAACTCTGGGTTGATTTGTTCGATGATCCATGGGTTTGTTTTCCTGGCTGTCCACGGTATTCTCAAGAGTCTTCTCCAATGCCAAAGTTCAAAGGCGTCAATAGTCTTCCTATCCTGCTTCTTTAAAGTCCAAATTTCACTTCCATAGAGTGTCACAGGGCATACCGTGGCTTACACGATTCTCATCTTTGTGGGTATAGACACATCACAGCATCTGAACATTTTTTCCAAGGTCTTCATGGCTGCTCTACTGAGTGCTAGTCTGAGGCGTATTTCTTGACTGCTGGTTCCTTTACTGTCGATGGTTGATCCTAAAAGGCAGGACCTCTCCACCACTTCAATATTTTCAGTCTCGATTCTAAGGCTGGTTACTGTACCTCTTGTCATTGGTTTGGTCTTCTTTATACAGTATTTAATTTTAATCCCATTTTTTCACTGTGCTCTTTTGACTTTTATTATTAGAGCGAGCAGATCCTTTGCATTTGGCAGAAGCTATCTACCGCTTCAAGATCTTCATTGTCAGGTCTAAATATATTATATTATATTAAGGGATAATAAACACATGTATAGATCACATAAACCCAAACACCTGTCTCACACACGCATTGATATCGCTGTGTTGACATGCCTATGTAATTTGACACGGGCATATTTAGCATATTTATTTCTCAAATGCTCTGGGAATCTTCTGAGGAAAATTCCCTAGAAACTGTAATGAATGCTATTTGTTACATTAATTTTTTCCGATACTATTGCCAAGCCACAGAAGTTTAAAAAGGAAGGGGGAAAAGACTTTCATCAACCATTCTTAAAAACAACAATTAAAAGCATTATTATATATTAAAAACAACAACAACAGAAAAGCAAACTAACAGGAAAACTGAAGGTAGAATTTGGTCCGGGCGCGAGGCCACCAACGCGCACGCGCACATCCCCGCCGGGGAAGCCGCCTGCCCGCGCGACGGCGCGCGGTCAACCGCGCACCGGAAGTGAGGGCCGCAGAGCAATTCTCGTTCTCCGGCTCCAGGAGTGAGTGACGCGCCAGGGGGCGGGGCCGAGTTTTGAAAGAAGAGGAGGGGTCAGTTAATTGGCGACGTCACGTGATTCGGAATGGAGGCGGTGGCGGCGGCAGCTGAGGCGAACATCTTCCTCAGGAGTCGGCGGGGGTGGCGCTGCTGTTGCGGCGGCTGCTGCTAGTCCAGGCGAAACGGCGGCCGCGACG